ATGGATGCTGTGTATACAATTACGTCTGCACAGAGTACCCTGACAATGAAACGACATATTACACACAATAGGAAAAACACCAAAACATACATTAATGATTCTTGAGATCACTCTGTTTAGTGCACATACACACACACAGAAACATGGACACTATCCATGTTACATGCTCTAATGTCTCTTCTGATGACTCCACTGACTGAATGATCTGTCACACACATCACAGGATATCGATGTAAGAAAAGATGTTTCTTCAGACAACTTTTCCAAGCGAAAGATTTATTACACATATCACAGGAATATGGGCATTCGCCACTATGTACACACTTATGTATCTTCAAATTATTATTCTGTTGGAACAACTTATTGCACACATTACAGGTATATAGACGCTCTCCACTATGTGTGCTTTGACGTTGCTTTAGACCACTTGGCCAATGGAATGACTTACTGCATACATGACAGGAATTGGGATGTCCCCCACCATGCTTAAGTTCATGTTCATTCTGAGGACTCTGCTGAAGAAAAGAATTATGATAAACTTAACATAAAGAATAAGAATGAGTTTGAAAGCAACATGATAGGTTTTTCTATCAAACACCATTACCTGACCCAAATTTAGTGGAATGTGTGCAAGAATTTGAAGTCTACATAGCAGTTTACAACAGTTGATTCACTGAGGTATATGAAGTAATCTGGAGCCCCTGACCTCAAACTTCAGCCCCCAATTTAACATCATACTCAAACAATAAAAGCCAAGTCACTCAGTTATCTTGGTTCTTACTCTGTACCAGGTTGGATCTGAATTCCATAGTAAACACATTTTTTTACACAGTGGGATAGCTACATGTAAATTTGCTGGTTCAATCACTTGATGGCTAGCAAGAAATTAAATATTTTGGAGCCCTTGAATTCAACCCATGATCTTCAATCGCATAATGTGTTCTAACTTTGAATGGTAGGTCACTGTATTAAAAGGTATGCACCCAAACTTGGCAAATATATTACTCTAGATGCAGTGGGATAGGAAGATGTCAATTTGCTAGTTCATTTAGTTCCTTGATACTTGTAACAGAAAGTTGGGTTTCTTGTCAGGCCTGAACT